TATTGGGGCAAGTGCTGTTAGCACCGATGAATGCCGGCACGGCACACGAGGGGGTGGGTGCCCAACACCACGCCCGGCCGCCTTTGTATCCCCAGTGGCGATGTTTACGCCCCACACCAGGTACTCATTTGAGGCTGAGTCGACCTAGGGGATACTGAAGGAAGTCACGTGACGTGTGTATTACATCACACGTCACGTGACAGATATTCGCCACTGCTGTTGGCCATGAGCTGGAATCGAACTCGGCCTGCCGGGTTCGTAGCGCAGTACGCTTACCGCTACACTACCGCTCCCCACGCACACGCACGCCCCCCCTGCCCCCCACAACACACGCACATGCACGCAACAAACACCCACACACACGCAGGGGCACACACGCGCGGGCAAAGCAATACTGGATGAAGCCCACGTCACGCTCGCCCCTGGAAAATAAACAGCTGTCAACGAGGTCGGGTCAAAAAGCGACGGCCCTCTTCCGTTTTGACGCTCGCCACGTCCTGACCGCGTAAATACCCTGCAGCCCATCACCGCCAGGCACGGGCACCAGCCGTGATGAGGCGGACGCGCGCGCGGGCACACGAGCCTCTGTGAAAATACACAAACGCTGCAGCCGGGCCACTGAGCAATCTGTGCGTTTCGTCCCCCACCACCCCACCACCGTCTTCTTCACCGGCTTCGGAGTTTGAGCCGCCAAACACACTCAGGCCAACTTTTAAACATTTGCGGAGCTATTTCCGTTTATTTAAACATTTAAACTGCTGCAATGATTTTTGCCGCTTATTTTTTTTTTAGGTCAATGGTGCTTGTCGGCGACACGGCACGAGGCTGTAGCGTCCATCAATCGTAAATCAGGCACGGCAGGTCAGGTGCGAGAGCAGTCGTTTTCCGTGTGATGGCCAGGTTCAACTTTGTGGTTGCCATGTTCATCACGTGATGGCCAGGTTGGCCACGTGATAGCCTGGTTCACCACGTGATTGCCAGGTTGACCACGTGATGGCCAGGACCTACAGTATGCAGTGATGACCCAGTGCTCTGACCTCAGCCCGTCACCTAAACGTGAGATATAATCTGCGCCGTGTGTTAAGCGGCGGACATCTCTAGGACTAACTCACAGGGAAAATACCAGGTGGTTGGGTGGCTCAATACAAAGATCTCCTATACAATACAGCCTTAACAGACTGCTGGCACAAAGTGCTGTTAGCGAGTAGCACCGATGTAGGCCGGTAGGGCACACGAGGGAGTGGGTGGCCAGCACCACGCCCGACCGCCTTTGACCCCCGAGTGGCGATGTTTACACACCACACCAGGTACTCATTTGAGGCTGAGTCGACCTAGGGGATACTAAGGAAGTCACGTGACGTGTGCATTACATCATTGAATTACAGCATGGCAGGACGAGTTCAGATGTTCGTCACTGGCGTTGGCCGTGAGCGGGAATCTAACTCGGTGCATCGCATCGTAGTGCGACGCACTAACCACCACACTACCGCACTGCACACACACACACACACGTATTACATTACCATACATACAGCCATATCGGCACGCACCGCAATACAATTTGGGGAGTGTTGTGTTTTTTAAGATATTGCTCTGGGAACTGTGCCACAACATAACAGGCTAAAAATAATTTACCGCCCTAATCGTTAACAACCACTGCCTTGCAAAAGAATAATGATGGTGGTTCAAGGTTGCCTCCAATTTCTGTTCCAGATAATAACCCAGAGCAAAGTTCAAGACATCGTGAAGGCCACCACCGCACCTCATTGCCAACTCGTTCTACCGCCCTCCGCCGGATCCGCACAGCTGCTGTGCCGAAGAGACACGCGGCAACGTCCTCCAGAATCCGCCTTGACAGCCGCCAAACATCTGCAGTTAGATCTTCCACGCTGGTTACCGCACTCATGGAGGCCACTCCAATGCCTGGGCGCCACGGTGGCGAGATGTCAGCTCCCTCGCCTGGTATACAGGAGGTCGTCGGCTCGATCCTGACCGTGACGCCTGCTGCTGTATATTTGGAGTTCGCATCTCTCTCTCTCTCTCTTCCTGTGATCGCATGGATTTTTCTCCGGGTCCTCTCCACATTTTAGAATCAACATGCGATGAAGAGTATTTGTCTGCTCTACATTTCCACATGATGATAAGCCGCTTCGTCGAGAAAAAGAGCTATACAGCTCAGTGGGCTTGACCTGTTAACATTCAAAACAAATTGCTTCATATAAACTTAATTTGGAGCTTTCGTGACTGCAGGAATTTCTCTTTGGTTCTTTCGGTAAAGTTACGTATAAAGAGACTTTACTGAAAGAACCAAAGAGTTGCTTCATATAGTTTAGTTGATGTCTGTGTCGGTAACCGAACCTCCCTCATCCTGCACTCATGTCCCACCCAAATCGTAAGCACAGCACTCACTCACCTGCCGTGGACTATCGTGCCTCGGCATTGCCAATCCTTGCGTCTTGCCACGAGATTACCCAGCGTTCGTCTCGGTCAGATGGACACTCGCCCAGGCTCACATTTCGAGCAGCTTATTTTTGAGCTGCTCTTGTTAAGTTTACCAGCTCTCCGATGCACACAGTAGTACGGTGCGAAAGAAGTTCAACGTACATACACACATACATCTAGAATGAAAACTCTTTTATTTAGAACTGATTTTTTGTGTTTAGTTTCTTATCGTTCCCCCCGTACCTCTGATTAGCGCCGTTGGCTACGCACTATGTGAAAGAAGTTCAACATACGTACTTAATACATTTTAACTCCGCATCAAAAATCTGTTTCTTCGAAGAGATAATATTCAACAATAAAAAAAAACAATGAAATGACAGATTGCTGTGCATCACTGGGTCAGGTCCCAGTCACGCACAGCACTCTGGGTGTTTCTCAAGATGAACGCAAACAGTGCGAGCCATGCCACTGTGGGACAGCAGCGTTGCGAAGGAAAATACCAAAACAGTTTAATTGTCACGAGGTTAGCAGCACCCTACCGCTTGGTGATGACTGCGTCAGACGGAAGAAGTGCGTTTATGCGCAGCTGAAGGTTTAACGGGGGTTAGTCAATGGGTTACTATAAAAAGGTAAAGGTGCAGCTTGCTCATGCCACTGTTGGCACAAAGGCTTCCACTAGAGGAAATTCTGGACAGCCCCTCGAAAATGTGTGTTTGGCCTACTCTTCCTTGCTGCCCAGACGTCTTGAAATAAAGTAGAAAGGAGTACGCACACTTACACACAAGGACTCACTGCCGATCGACTCGATGCCGTGTTCCCAGTTATACTGCTGGGTGGGATTTTAGCAAAAATATGCCCTCGCCCCCCCAATTGTTTCAGCTGCTTCGCCAGGAGATGGATACGAACCGACGGCCCTCTGGATGGCGAGTCCAGAGCGCCAGCCGTCACACAGCGCATGGCTGCAGCAACCCGTTCGTAGCCACACGCTGGCTTTTCTCACTCGCGACGAGGCATCGCTCGTCAATGACGACTGCGGTGAAGAATTCTCGGCTCGCGTTTAGGCACAACTTGACGATGCCCTCCCCGAGGTCCCGCTTCGAGCCAACAGCTGGATTCTCTGCCGTGACACCAAACAGAGGCACGCTGGCCCACGCGGCGATCGAGCCCCTGCGTCACTGCGCAAGGCTTAAAGATTTAACGAGCCTAAATCCTTCCAAACAAAACAACCGCTAGTGTGCGTGCGCGCGATGCTGCGCGGGGGAGCGGCGGTGGCGCCTCGGTCAGCGCGCTGTGCTGCCAAACTCGGACAGCCGAGTTCGACTCCCGCTCGCGGCCAACACCGGTGACGATTATCTGAACCGGCTCTGGGCCTCCCCTAGGTCCACTCAGCCTCAAATGAGTACCTGGCACGGTGTGTAGCAAACATCGTGGATAGGGAGACAAAGGAGGACGTGTATGGTACTGGCCACCCACTTCCCCCCTCGTGTGCCATGACGGCCTTCATGCTGTAGGTGCCACTCACGAACAGCACTTTCCCCAAAACTCTGCCAAAGCTACACGGGTGATCTTTGTCTTTGGCTTTGGCACGATGGTGAATAACGCCGTCCTGAAAGGATCCGGGCCCGGGTGGTTTGGCGGCAAAGTGAGCAGCTCACAATCAGAATAAACTTTTTTTTTGTGTGTGATTTGTTTGCCTTTGCTTGACTTTGCACTGCTATTTTGTTTTTTTTCCGCATTGTTTGTTGTTGTTGTTGTAACCTTCTTACCCGTCCCTACTGGACATCTGTGAACAAAGAGCTTCACAGTTCATCGGATTCCTCCTCCTGCAGTACAAATACGGATTGTGGTCGATTCTGAGAGCGTCGCCAATTCAAATTGGTGGCCCATACAATGAGCACCACTTGGAGTGGGGGAGGCAACAATGGGGGTCCTATGGGTGGACTGTCTCTTGCCATAGGAACATCCACCACCATCTCGGTGCCCTAAACGGGAGATGAGTACTTTTTAATATGAAATTAAGTTTTATATTAAATGATATCTCAGGAAATGGACCTCGTGGAGCTGAGAGGTAATTTTTCGTCAGGTTCCGCGAAATCATTGATCTCTGCTGTGAAAAAAGGGCTCGTTCCCTGAAACGTCGCCTGCCATGTTAGGTTTCCTTTTATGGCAGCATTATTGACGTGTTTGTTGGGTTTTTATTTGTTTGTGCTAAATCCATCGGCAACTTTTCAAGGCGCCAGTTGCACAGCTTTGTTTGAAACCCTCTGCAAAGTACGCAAATCGTTATATTTACAAGTATATTTACAATACGTCCAAACACACACACTGAGCATTTATGTTTTTTGTAGCCGATGCCAAAACTGCACACCTTTGTGCGTTTGTGCGCTTTGCCTGGAAGGCATTCGTTCGACGCTGCGTATTCGCGCGCATCACGGCAGCGATACGGTGCCGACGCTCCCCGCGCACGCTCAAAAAACCCTCCTGCACGGTATCCATGCCACAGCCTAGGCCCCCCCCCCCCGCACCCCTTGCGAGGGGTGCGTGAGCTCCGAGCTCACCGTATACGGCAGCCCTGGAACATGCCGGTGCTGACGAGGTAGGGGCACACGAGCGTCGTGTGGACTCCGTCCTTCTCCATCGCTCGGATCTCGTGCGCCAGCGACTCGTGGAAGCCGACCGCCCCGTACTTGCTCGCGCAGTAATCCTACGTGGAGGGGGCGGGGGGGGGGGGCACAGGGAAACTTGCGTGTAGTGTACAGTCGTGTTCGCCTATAACGCGGGAGGGGTTGCGTTCCCAAAGAACGCCGCGTTATGGAAAACCTGCGTTGTGATGATAATGTATAAGATAGGGTAAAGCACAGTTCGGGTTTAACACGTGAGATGCGTACGCAGGCTGAATGAAGACTGAGGCGCGTGGGTAGCATCCAGATGCAACGCTACTCCGAGGTCGCCGTACGACCGCTTATTCCTACTCGCGCGACATGGTTCCGTTCGCTCGATCGCGTTGTATCCGATTCGCATCCGCGTTATGAAAAAATGTGTTCCCTAATGCATTCATCGCATTATATCCAATCCGTGTTATGAAAACATGTGGCGTTATGTGGGAACAGACCGTATTTGGTCGCTATAAATTTCCACGTGGTAAGCCACTTCGCTGAGATGCCATTTGTGGCCAGGTTGCGTCTGACAAAGAGCCGCATAGCTCAGTGGACTTTACGTGGTAAAATAAATTTTTAAAAAAAATTTGTTTAGAGAACGGGGAAAATCATGTTCATATGCCAGTCGCTATGCACGCCTGTAACCCAGCATTGTGGAGCCAGAGAGTGTTGGTGGATCACGCAAATTATGTAAAACTCCATTCTCGTCGGCATTGAGAAGGTTCCATTACTCCGGCTAAATGTGGACTCTCCCTGTTCCGTCTGTATGGGATAGAGCGTTTCCCCCTCACTCACACGAGTGAGGTTTTCTCCACGTGCTTCAGTTGCCTCCCGCGTGTAGACACTCGTTAATTCGCCGATTACATCTTAAAATATAGAGGACCACAGAGCTTTGGGGGGGGGGGTTTGCCAGCTTTCTGCCTGGCTGCTCCCTTCCCGTTTGTCTGTGGTGCCCCTCGTGCCTCTGAGTGTTTTTGGAGGAGCAGAGCCAGGACTTGGAGGAATGCGAGCAACCCTCACATCGTCGATTTTGTGTACAGCAATAACAGCGGCACGCCAGCGTGCGTGGGGGCTTTCGCCCCCGTGGTGCTGCATAGCTCTCTTGGAGAGAGCTTTCTGAGTTGTAAATTCAAATGTAGTTTCCGACGCTTCTTTAAATCCACAGCGCAAAAGCTGCCGCTGGGGCCAAACAGAAGCCCGGGCACGGCGCCGCCTGAGACATTCAGGGTATATATATATATTTATATATATTTTCTTCTCCCCAAAGTGTTTAGAGTGCCGGTTTCGTCGGCCCATGATCCCTGCGCTCACCTCGATGCCAGCCGTGCTGAACAAACCCAAGGAACTGGCGACGGTGACGAGGTGTCCGTGGTTGGTCTCCAGCATGTGTGGCAGGAACGCCTTGGTCGTCTGACGCGGAGAGGAGGAGGCAAAAGCAACGTTTGCAATATGATCGCGAAACCGTGCACGAGAGAACAACTGCAGAACACAGCTTAAATAGTCGCTCCAAGCCTGGGGCGTGCCATTCAGACTCTGTCTTCTCGACAGACCTGTTCTCCAGCTGAGGACGGCTGCTTGCGTTGTGGCCGAAACGTCGTGAGAATTATTTTATTATGTTTTTATTTTTATTATTTTATTATTTCCATTCTACGTGACTTTACCGAAAGAACCAAGAAGATGCAGAACACACGTCAACGCCAAGTTACAAAATTATAATTTGCGGCCAACTGTGAACGCAATGCTGGATGAGCGTGCGCCCAAGCTGATGTTTGACTATACTTCAGCGTACTGGTCAGTGCGGTTTGGTGAAGGGGCGGTGGGGTGGACTAGGACTGGTTCAAGCATCATTCACCACCGAATCGAGCTGAGGGTGCCACGTTCACAGCTGCACGATTATTACGATTATTTTGCTGCTTTAAATTTCCGCACGATGAGCCACTTTTATGAGCTATCGTGTGTAGCCAGGTCGCTTCTGAAAAATAAGGCAATAGCTGAGTGGGCTTTGCTTGTGTAAGATAGAAAATAGTTGAGTTTATTTGAATATTTTTAAAAGTGATTTCTATACTTTTCCTATACTTTGCAGTCCCATCGTGTTGTTGTATTGTTTGTTATTGTATTATCTGTGAAAAAAGAGCTTAATAGCTCATCGGATTCCTCCAAGTATAAATACATATTTTGATTCTGAGAACGTCACGAATTCAGATTTCGTGGTCCATATAATGAGCACCCCTTGGAAGGGGTAAGACAACATTGGGTGCCCTATGCATAGACCGGCTCCTACCATAAGATTTCTCCTTATTTCTACGTGACTTTACCGAAAGACCCAAAGAGTCTGAATTTCTCCAGTGTCAATAAATATTCTGATTCTGAACCACTGTGCCACAACCACCACCACCACCGCCACCACCGTCATCATCACCACCGCCACTTAAACACATTAAACACGACGTGAATACAAGCCAACGGGGCGAGGGTCTCGTGCACTTAACCTGGCCGCATCACGCGGCCACAACAGCAGATTAACGTGAAGGCTTTGGGGCGCGCGACTTTTGAGAACAGGACGGACGGTAACGGAGTGTCTGGCGTGCGAGCAGCCCCACGCAGACCCCCCGAGGTGGGGTGGAAGAGGGGGGGGTCGCCAGCCCTCCGATTGTGCCGTGTTTCCCCCCACGACTCGAGGCATCCGCCACCACGGGGCCCACACACACCAAAAAAAATCAGCCCCAAACACGGAGAGGGACCGGGTAACCTCAAACCTTTTCAGGGGGCCATGAAATGAGCCAGGCACCACTCAGCCATGGCAGCTTCTCTAACCCCCTGACCCACGCCTGTTCCACGTACACGAAACCGCGGCACCGTTTTAAAACAAACTAACGGGGGTTGTTGGGTTTTTTTCTCTCTCTCACACTTTTTTGAATGTCCCCACTCTCTTCGCGTCTTTCAAAACTCATGCAGCATTCCTCCGTGGCACACAGGGAGGGAGAGGCAACGCATTCATCCTCGTGGCTTATTCATCTCACACTTTCGTTGTTGTTGCTGTCTGCCGCTGCTAACCTTGCTGCTGCTGCTGCACCTTCGTGAATGTCAGAATTGTCGAGCTAAATTTTTGCTTGGTCGTGGATTTGGGAGGGGGGGGGGGGGTCACAAAAGTACCCGGCTAGCAAAAGCTACGTGCGCAGCTTCACCGCCGCTGCACTCGTGAACTCCGTCGCAGTCCAACGACGCGAAATCCGTCCGCTGACGCCGGATGAACAACGCTCGCGCAGTTCGCTGCAGCCGAAACGATTTGGTTGTGATATGTACGTAGAACTTCTTTCGCAGCGTACGTAGCCAACCGCCCTAATCGGAGGTGCGGGGGAAGGAGAGGGATGCCGCTGCGTTGGTGGTGTGGTGCACAAGCACAATCAGCGAACAGCAAAACTCGACACGTTCGTCAATAACACTGCCTGAATCATAATAACGATAATAACTCCGCTTTCAAATAAATTTGGTGACGCGATGGGCGAAGGGGGCCTTCTTTGCTGCACACCGTTTATGCACTGTGACGCAGGGCCGTTCGTGTGCCGTACATCATCTCCTTTTAAGATGACAGTGTCACTGACGGATGCGCGGTAGTTTTTCATCAACGTTCATCGTTCTCCGCTGCGTTCTTACGAGTCGCGCCGCGTGTTTGCTCGGCATGCGATGTCCAACGGTTCGCGCCACGTGCCGCCGGGGGATCTTTTTTGTTTGTTTGTTCTGGAGATGAATTTGGACGGCTCGTTGCAGCTCCCGTTTAAACCCTTCCTGCCCGTGTGACGTGGCTGTTACCATATCGCCATTGACAAAAAGCTTCTCATCTCAACTGAACTGAAAACTAAACGAATATTTTTTTTATTTCACCAAATTAGGCCACACTGAGCTTTATAGCTCTTTTTCAAATACGACCTGGCCACAGATGATAGCTCAACGAAGTGGCTTATCAACACGTGGACTTTTATAGCAGCAGCCAAATATACATCTCAGAAGCACGGAATTCAACTGGAATTTGATTCTAAGCAGCCGCTCCGTACTCTATTACAATTTTCACCCACACACACCCAGCCATACAAACACACCCAGGCATACAAACACATACCCAGGCATAGAGATGCACACCCAGTCGTACAGACTTACATACATACAGCCATGCAGACACACCCAGCTATATAGATATACAACCAGCCGTACAGAAACACACTCAGCCGTACATATACACACCCAGCCGTATAGAAACACACCCAGCCATGCAAATACACATCCAGCTATATGGCCCTTCATATTCGCAATCATACCATATGCATTGGTGGGGTAAACACTTCACACAGGATGTCTGGCAACCTTTTGTCTCCCAAGTCGTGATGCTGACAAGGCCACTCAATGGGACTAATTTAAGGCTGATCTGACCTAGGGCAGACCCATGCAAGTTTCAGCAAGTTTCAAATGAAATGCCACCCAGACAGAGACACTGGGGTAACAAAGACAAAGGTGCCCCCGATAGCATTAACAGAGTGTTGGGGCAAGAGCTGTTAGCGAGCACCTCTGAAGGCAGGCACAGCGCACGAGGGGATGGGTGGCCAACACCACGCCCGGCCGCCTTTGTCTCCCCAGCGGCGATGTTTATACACCCGTACCAGGTACTCATTTGAGGCTGAGTCGATCTAGGGGGAGGCCCAGGAGCGGTTCACATAATCGCCACTGGCGTTGGCGGCGAGCGGGATTCGAACTCGGGCCGTCGGGTTCGTGGCGCAGCGTAGCGTAGCGCGCTAACCGCCGCGCCACCGCTCCCCACACGCGTGCGTCTGAACACACATTTAGAGAGACGCTCAAACATACACACACACACGCACGGCCACACACTCTCCCCTGTGGTGTCTCTACTCCCACCACCCCCACACCCACCCCCCTCCTCCTCCCTCCCGGGGGCTCCATGGCTTAGGACGTAAATCAGAGCCAAGACTCAACTCCAGCGCGCGTTCGCTCTCTCTCTCTCTCTGTGTATCACGTTGCACGTTTCACTCCCAAAGAAAATGAAAACGCACTTTCCCTTGAAGCGTGGCAGTAATAACACGCATTACAAAGTCATATACGTTTCCACTGCCGCGTCAAGTTATCTGTCTCTCTCTCTCTTTCTTTGCTTTCAGTCTCCACCAAGTTCCACGTGTTTCGTATGAAGTGGCTGCGTGATTTACGCGGACAACGTGATACCACCGTAAGCGCTTCCACTAAAGGACAGATCTCATCGGCTCAAATGGATTTAATGTCCATAAGCATGCACCCAAAAGAGGATAGGCCTTCCTAAATGAAAATAACATAAAGTGTACCGATGGCACCTATTGTGCGACTATTATCTGTGTAACGTCAGCTGGCATACATGCAACTCACAGGACACACCGATGCTGGACGTACATGTGCTTTTAGCGAGCACCCATGAAGGCGGGTACGGCACACGAGGGGGCTGGGTGACCGACACCACGCCCGGCCGCCTTTGTCTCCCCAGTGCTGATGTTTACGCATAGCACCAGGTACTCATTTGAGGATGAAGGCGACCTAGACGATGCTCACGACCGGTTAATTATTCACCACTGTTTTTAATTAAACATTCACCACTGTTATTTAATACTCATCACCGTTATTGGTTTTCTAGCGGGAATCGAACTTGCGCATCGCCCTTAGCAGCCCAAGAGGCCCAACTAGCATGGAGACATTTAAAAAAAATTCAAATCGAATAAAAAATATGGAATCTCCCTCGTTCCCCCATCTTGCCTGTACCTCTCACGTGACTTCATCGTTGTGTCTCGTCTCGCTGGGCCTCTGGGGGACACGAGGATACACTATTTTTGGACCGTCCCATCTCGATGCATAAACTCCTCGTGAGAGGACAGAAGCGATAAGGGCGAGAGATACGTAGACAAAAGCTAATAGAGATGTAGACAAGGTAGCGATGATACAAATGAATGAGCTTATTAATGTGCAATGGCTCATGTTTATTAGGCTTTCGATTCAGTCTTCCAACATTCGGTTGGTTCACATTTTTGGGGTTTTCCGTGAATCTGTGGGGCCCTTCTCAATGACCCCGGAGCCCAGAGCTTTTTGACTAGTTTGCTTATGCCCAGCGCCGACGAGTTGAATTGAAGCGTGCAACGGGAGAAAGAGAGTGTACAACAGCGAGAGACTCTGCGCTGGCCATCGTGAATCCGCCCTCCCGCCGATGCTCCGGTCTCCCCGCAGCCGTCGTGCTCCAGTCCCGCCGGCAGCTGCCTCTTCATTGGGCACCACAGCAACGTATTTGCTCAATGCCCAGGCAGCAGCTGCACATAAGATTGTGTCTATAGTCGTGTCAGTGTGTTGGCGTGTCTGTCCGTGTGTGTCAGGGGAGCGGAGTGTGGGGA